GACATGTCTAGTTTATCACAAACAAAAGATGTAGAAATATTAGAGTCATGAGGTGATTTGGGAGATTGAACCTTTGGAACCAATTTGTAGTTGGGTTTGACCCATTTCTTTTTCGGTCCAATGGGTGCCTCGGCACTTGATTTTGAACGTGAAGTTGGCTTCCGAGATGATTTTGACCTAACTGGTCTTTGCTTCACATAAGCATCTCTTGGATTGGACTTCTTGGTTGGCATTCCCTTCGCACCTTTTAGATTTGGATTCTTGACCTTAGAAGTTTGATTCTTGGCCTTCTGTGCGTTCCAGTCACCATTGCTCGATTGTGCCCTGGAAGGGTTTCTTTTGAACTATCTCCCACTTGGCGCGTTCTGCCAGCCTTGTGCATAGTAGGGAACATATGCGCGATTACGAAATTTTTTGGCAACGTGTCCAGGTGTTCCACAGTGAAAGCATGTCTTTTTCTTTACTGTGAAGTTGTTTCTTCCTGCCCTTGGTGGCGTATGCTTGCCTTATCTCTTATTGTTCCCACAAGCACACTTACAGCAGGCACCCTGATTCTCTAGAATTGGTGGCATGTATTTACCAATAGCATGTTGATCAGAAGCAGCTGAGTTTGAAGCAATAGATTCAGAGCTCAAGGAGACATTGGTTTGTTCAATGGTGTTCTCCTTGTTCTTATCTTCTGCTACTTTACTATCAGACACACTCTCTTCAGCTGCTTGCTTGGATTGGCTTAGTGGTTGATCTTCATAGGAAGTAGAAGCATTAGTATTTTCAACCTGAATACCTCCTGACACAAATCCAGCTGGTTTGCCATATTGAAGATGTGCCTCCATGTCAATTTATTCTTATGTCATAGGGATGGATGTGTAGTTATGACTGAAAGGTGGAGGAACACTATCATACCCTAGACCTTTTTGCTGGTTATTTTTAAATTGCGGACAATGGTCTATCATGTTTGCAACTACTTCGCTTGACACATCAAATTTTTTTAAATCAAAATCTATAGTTTCAACTTGTCCTTTTAATGTGTCAAGCTCAATAGTCAACTCAACATTTTGTCTCTTCGTATATGTTGTGTCCCAGGTCGGATCTCTTTCAATCACGCAGAAGGGACACCATATGGCTAACTACGATAGTGGGATTGAGAGGTAGAATGTTGCATATGTTGTGTTCCAGGGCAGATGTGTTTCAATCACGCAGAGGAGACAACATATAGCTAACAGATAGAAATAGTTTCATAGATAGGGAGGTGCGTAGAAATAGAGTTGCATATGCTACATTCCAGGTTGGATCTCTTCCAGTCACGCATAGGAAGCAAGATATGACTGACAAATAGAAAGCAAGAAAATAGTTTCCTACAGACCTACTTTATCAGAACCCCACGGTTGCCCTATTAGAACCAGATTTAAGGACATAAGTTCGTACATCAAGGAAAAGTTGAACCACTGTTCTAGATGCGTATTAATTTAATGTATCCTGTAGGTTCCCGTGTTTATCTCACTGCTCAATCCACCCGAGCGTCGTATGGTCAGTCCAAACAATTCTATCTTAATCCACACTGTCAAATCCTTCATGCCTACCAGCACATTGAGCACAAAGTCTAGAAAATTCAGATTCACTCCCTTACACATGTTTTAGACTGCCCATTATCACTTTATCTTTATATCACTTCCCAAAACAACCTACTAACGAAAAACTATAAGAAAATAAAAGAATGCATTCAAAACGAAACAGATTAAGGTAAACTCAGGAGTATCATGAAGAAAACTCAAACCGTAAGTCACCAATTGAATTTGCATCCATAACGTCTGAGAACAGCACACACTTGTTACTATAGTCTTCCTGAAGTCTCCCAAAGTCAATAATTTTTGCTTCTAACTGGGCCTTTAGGGGTTTTTGTCCTTTTCTATGTTGATAGCCTTCATATCTATGGTCCTCTACTTCTCTACGTAATGATTCTATTTCCTCACGAAGAATTTTAACATAATCAACACATGCCTGAGAACAAGAAGGTAAACTTACCTCACTTTTCTTAGGTTCGGAAGTAGAAGATACCATCAGTGCAAACTGCAGCTCCATCATCTTTTCTTCAGGATCAGCTGCAACATTCTCCACGAGAACATCATCATTGATTTGGGCTAGGTGAGCCTTTTCAGGTCCTGAAATATTCAGAGCTTGAATATGGTCCTCCCAGTCAAATGATTGAGCAACCATAGCATTCTCACCATTGATCGTAACGCCTCCGCGATTGTTTCCCACCGCAACCATCGTCCTGTCATTGTTCATTCTTCAATCTGGTTTCGGGCACTCACGAGCAAAATGACCCGGCTCGTGATAGTTGAAACAACGCAGTTTCCCTTTGTTGAACCCCACTTTCTTCTTAGCATTCATTCCATTTTTCTTTGCGATCTGCTTTTCCCTAAACACTGCCATAGGTATTTGCCATGTTATATCCATCTTTTCCACATCTTTTGGATGAATTTGATCCAGGTCAGCAAATGATAGTTGAGGTGGGAGCTCTTCGGCTAAAAGGACATTGTAACAGTTGAAAAGTCCAGTGGCAAGAGCAAGATTCTCATCATTTTCTTTCGAGTTTGAGGGGGAACAGCTTGAGGAACAACAGATGAAGACACAGATGACACAACAGAAAGAGATGTTGCTGATGGAGTAGCAAAAGTCTGAATCTGAGGTTGTTGTACAACAAACTCTTGTCCTAGAGAGGAGATGAGTGATGACAGAGCATTGTTTGAAGAAATCCCGAGATTTTCAGTCGAATAGGAATTCACATGATTAATCTCTCGATGCTTATCATCAAGATCACAAGCTTTGATAGTCACCATTGTTTCAGCAAGAGTGAGACGATTTAGATCTTTCGTATTCTTGATAACAACAACATTCATGTCCCATGATTTTGGAAGTCCATTTAGTAGCTTTTTATTTTTTTGGACTTAGTCAAGAAGATCCCATCTATAGTCATCTCAGTAGTGAGAGTGGTAAATCGTTGTAGCTGAGCCTCCAGGGTTTCTCCAGGAATATAGTTAAACATGTTAAATTTCTGTCGTGGCATATCCTGACGACTTTCTTTCATGTCTTCATTTCCCTCATAGACCTCAATCAGGGCTTCCCATAAGGATTTTGCTGAAGTATATTCCCTAAAACCATGAGCTATATTAGGAGATAAAGCCATAGTCAAAGTGGCTGAAGCCCGTTCCTGTTCCTCAACTTTCTCAAAATCCTCATTAGTATAGTTTTCAACTGCTTTGTCAACTATTTTTCCCGCAACAGTGGTAGTAATTCGGATTGGAACCTTGATGATGCTTCGCCAAACTTTGAAGTCTTTCATTTTAATATATTTTTCAGTTCGGTATTTCCATTCAGGAAACCCATCTATAGACAGCAGTCTTGGAATACGCGTGGTTGTGCCCATGACAGAGTCCAGTTCGTGATGATGTGCTTCACTTTGAGAATCCATTTTTAATTAATAATTTTTAAATCAAAAGATCAAAAGAATAAAACAATAAAAATGTCAAGAATGATTTTACGGTCAGACTATTTTACGGCCGTAAACTGAGTTTACGGTTGATGGTTTACGGTCACTTAGTTTACGGTCAAACTGTTTTCGGTCAATGAAGACACAAGATTCACTTTTTACGGTCTTTGAAGATGAGTTTACAGTCTATGAAGATCCTCTGTTTACAGTTAAAGAACACAATTTACGGTCAATGAGGATTCTTGAGTTTACTGTTGTAAATTGAGTTTACGGCTGCAAACACTTGGCTATAAACTCCTAGAAGTTCACAAAAACATGAATTTAGAGCAGATTTGATCCCTTTTAGCAGTGAAAGTACCAAACACAATCTCAAATAATGATGAATACGAGTTTAAATAGCCGAAAACATGATTGAATGATGCTTTGACACTGGTTTCCCTCTGATACCAATTGTAAGTCCCCAAAATGCTTGAGTATCAATCAGATCCAATTGATGGTGCAGAATCCCAATCAATTGTATGATTTCAGATCAAAATAGAAGAGAAGGAGAAGAAGAAAATGATGAATCTTGAATGTATTGATGATATGATTGAAGTTCCTTACACAAGATTCACTTTCTCTCTCTAGAACACACCTTAAGTTTCACACACTTAAGCTCATCTCTTTCTCTACTATTCCATTCACTTTACTCCTCACCCCTTACACCTATATTTATAGGGAACATGGGACGAACACAAGTGCACGTCCGTGAACAGGTTTACGGTCGTAAACTTGTTTACGGCCGTAAACCTGTTTACGGCCGTAAACACCCACCTAGCCGTAAACACATAAAATATTACATAAAAATACAATTGCCCAGAAAAGCAAAGTATAAACCATATTTTTGACCCAACAGCATTGTCTTTAATTAGCCCTCACAATTGGAAATAAAAACAAATGACAAAAATATCCCTGATTCTTTTCACACTCTTATTGCTTAATTATGGTTATGCACATCATACATGTATCCAAGATTAACTTATTTTTTTCTATGAATACTATGATGATGCATACCCTTAGATGATGTTGCCTTTTTTATTTTCATTATTTATAATGAATGACCATTATACCCTTATATCTCAAAATAGTTTCAATGGGAAATTATAACATTTTATTTGTTTTATGATAATAAGAAATAATTGATGGATATACCCCTGCTTTAGCATAATCTCCATATGTCGATAACAAACATGGGGCAAACTAACTAATCTAACCAATAACTTACCTATAAAGTGGAAATAAGTTGAAAAGTACATTGCTTTTTTTACAAAACAATGCAGCCAAACAAGGACAATACTGACTCAGTTATAAATATGAAACACAATATAAACAACAATATAAAATTATAATTATAATTACTTCCTATTTTTCCCCTAAGATAGTTATAATTAAAACAACATCAAATTGCTTACAAAAATGAGTTTCATATGTACTCTGTATTAAACACAAAATGGAGTACAACATAGGTCGCCTACACTATGTTTTTCCATGCTATCACATTCTCCTTCGCCATGTCCATTGCATCTTCCATTTTTTCTCTTGGAATTGTCATGTTTAGCATATGCCTGATGCATGCTATTCCAACATCAACTGTTACCATCGGGTGTTCTGTTATAAACAGATGAATAAGCTTCTCAACTCTTTTGGATGGCGAGTTCATCAAAAAGTGGGGGAAATTGATTGGAACAAATACAAGCCTATGTTCAACATACATATGTTCAATCTCTTGAAATTGGTGTGCCCTAACAATCATCTTGAAAGTTCCCAAACATTCATCATTCAGAATTGGAATCATTAACAACCCACAATTTTCTTCGGTTGGCATATGATACCAGTTACCCATAGTTGTATACACCAAGCTTTTCGAAAAATAACCAAGCATCTCCATGTTGAGCAAATTGATGTTGAAACATGAAATAAAGTTAACTTTTTTCTTTTGATACGAATTACCTGGATAGTCTGTAAAAAACCCGCCATGTACAACTCTAATGGTGAATATCTAATCGTTTGCTTTCCCGTACTCTACTAATGGTGTGTTTTTCGGTGGTTCACTTCTTACACTCCAGAGTTGGAACCTCAGATTTGCCCATGAATCACCATTCATCTTTGTTTCCATTGATCGTCGGAGTTATTTTCAAAGAGGAGGAGCAAATAATCGAAGCTATCGTATGTTGGTAATGAATATGTAAGAATGACGATTTTGATATAAGGGGAGGCTTTAAACGGATCATCATTCGGAGCTGAAGGTACATCGACGCAGGCCATCACTTCCGATTAATAGCAGGCTACAAGGGAGGTGCAATTTGAACAACGGCTGTGATAATGATTATCGTTATTGTGTTATACATTAATATATTATTTACATTAATATATATATATATATATATATATATATATATATATATATATATATATATATATATATATATATATATATATATATATATATATATATATGTATATATATATATATATATAATATTAATTAAGTGTAACATCCATACTTGCTTTTTTATTATTACCATACAAAATATAAATTTATATATAAATTAATTATAAATATATAAAATCATTTTTTTAATTAATATGGATATGGGTTGTAGGTGGTCGGGTGTTGGTATGGGTTGGGCATCATTAGGTCATGTACGGGTGTTGGTAATGTTTTAGGACCAAAATGGGTTTATAATATGGGTATGGGTTGCAGGTGGTCAGATGTTAGTAATGGTTGACCATCCTTAAGTCATGTAGGGGTGTTGGTAATGGTTTGGGATCAAAATGGGTTTATAATATTGGTATGGGTTGCAGGTGGTTGGGTGTTGGTAATGGTTGACCATAATTAGGTCATGTAGGGGTGTTGGTAATGGTTTGGGACCAAAATGGGTTTATAATATGTGTATGGGTTGCAGGTGGTCGGGTGTTGATACGGGTTGACCATCATTTGGTCATGTATGGGTGTTGGTAATGTTTTGGGACCAAAATGGGTTTATAATATGTGTATGGGTTATAGCTGGTCGGGTGTTGGTAATGGTTGACCATCCTTAGATCATGTAGGGGTGTTGGTAATGGTTTGGGACCAAAATGGGTTTATAATATGGGTATGGGTTGTAGGTGGTCGAGTGTTGGTAATGGTTTGGGACCAAAATAGGTTTACAATATGGGTATGGGTTGCATATGGTCGGGTGTTGGTACGGGTTAACCATCATTAGGTCATGTAGGGGTGTTGGTAATGGTTTGGGACCAAAATAGGTTTATAATATAGGTATGGGTTGCAGGTGGTCGGGTGTTGGTACGGGTTGACCATCATTAGGTCATGTACGAGTGTTGGTAGTGTTTTGGGACCAGAATGGATTTATAATATGGGTATGGGTTGTAGGTGGTCGGGTGTTGGGACGAGTTGACCATCATTAGGTCATGTATGGGTGTTGGTAATGGGGTGGAACCAAAATGGGTTTATAATATGGGTATGGATTGCAGGTGGTCGGGTGTTCATACGTGTTGACCATCATTAGGTCATGTATGGGTGTTGGTAATGTTTTTGGACCAAAATGGGTTTATAATATGGGTATAGGTTGCAGGTGGTGGGGTGTTGGTAATGGATGACCATCCTAAGGTCATGTAGGGGTGCTGGTAATGGTTTGGGATCAAAACGTGCCTCGCGAGACTCAACAACTTTGAATGCTTCTGGTTACATTGAAGGGTGCTGCAAAAGATTGGCTCAAGTCACTTCCCCCCGGATCCATCACTACATGGGCCAAGATGAAAGAAGAGTTTATTGATCAATTTTGCCCACCTTCCAAAATAGCTAAGTTAAAGAAAGCCATAGCCAACTTTGAGCAACAAGCTGGAGAATCACTTTATGAGGCTTGGGAGAGATACAAAATTCTATTAAGATATTTCCCACATCATGATCTCAATAGTCAACAAGAAGTCTCCATTTTTTATGATGGAGTGAATGTTACAACAAGGCAATTACTTGACTCGCAAGGCCCCCTCATGAAGAAAGCACCCCCGGTGATAAAGAAACTAATTGAGGAATTCTCTAAGCATTCTAGGGAATACCACAACCCAATGAATGATGTGACGAGGGGGAAGCTTGTGCAGCTTCAGATAATTTGTCAGCAGTCATGGCTATGTTGAAAACCATGGATAGGAGGATGGATAAAATGGATCAAAAAATACAGGCTATTCGGGTGGGTTGTGAGAATTGCAATGGACCTGATCTTACTAGAGATTGTGACTTAGACGAGAATGGGAACAAGAAGGCGCAAGTATGCTACTCCAGTGGTGATAAATATGATGATGACTGGCTAAAACCAAAGGAGTGGCTCCCCTATGAAGAGTACAAGAAACCTAAGGAGGAGAAGTATAAACAAAAAGGAAGAGGGTTTTACCAAAAGGAGGAGCCGGTGCAAGAAAGAAAACCAAGTGTGGAGGATATGCTTACTAAATTTGTAGCTGCTTCAGAAAAGAGACACAATGACCATGATGCTGCAATACAAGAGACAAGAGCAATACTTATAAATAGCAAGAATCTATCCACAACATTGAGACACAACTGGGGCAACTTGCCCAACAAATAAATCAAAGATCACCGGGAGAACTTCCTAGTAAAACCGAAAACAACCCACGAGGCGCGCACATAAACATTATGACAACTAGAAGTGAGAAGATCATTACTCCCCTGGCACCCATTCAGAACGAAGATCCCAAGAAATTACAAAAAGAGGATGCAGAAAACCCGAGCCAAAAGTAAAAATGAGCATAAATTGTAATTTGCTAGATTATGTATGCTTGGCTTGCTCAACCAAAAATACCTTTAGGTTAGGAGGTTTTCTGCGGATGGATTCGGAGGGATGCATAATATGAACATCGTTTGGAAAAAGTGGGCAAATGTTTATGAGAATTGTGAGTATTTAGAGTATGGGAGTTCCTTAGGAAAATTTTAGACACAAATGCATGCGTCGTGGTCTTGGCATAACGGTTGGGTTCAATTGGAATTGTCTTATGTGATTCTAGTATGCTAAAATTCAGTTTTGCTAGGGGGCAAGCAAACGTCAAGTGTGGGGTATTTTGATATGTGCATATTTAGCCATGTGTTTAGTATAGAATTTTATCAATTATTAGCTAATTATTTGCAAAATATGGACAAAAGGTACTTAATAATGTCTAAATTGTATTTTCAGTATAGAAGACAAGCTTGGGAGCAAAAAGAAAGAAGGAGAAGCAATCAGAAGCTAGAGAATGAAGAAAGAAGAACAAACCTGATCCTACTCGGCGAGTCCAAAGGTCTACTCGGTGAATCCAGTTGAATGTTCGCGAAGTAATATCCAAACTCCTAGACGTACACGTATTTCTCAAAGGTACTCGACGAGTTGGGAACCTACTCGCCGAGTAAACCCTATTTTGAGATAATTATAAATATCGGTTGAGATTTTGAATTGTGGAGATTTTTGGCTTCCTTGGAGCATCAACCTGTGACTGGAGATACCTTTGGAGACCTGAAGAACCCAAATCAAGATGAGGTGGTTGTTCCCGATGATCTGGGAAGAAGAGTTCGACATAGGAGGGAACAGGTTCGAGAAGACCCACCGGTTATCCCGGTGGAAGATTAGAACGAGGGGTGGAATCATGAGGAGTATCGGGGATATTTGGATGACATTGGTCGGGGCATTAAATATAACAATGAGTCATTCAATTATCTCTTTGAAGGAATCCACATTGCTCCACATCCCGGGCCCAGATATCCTTACATTATGAATTGGGAAGAGTGGATGCAGAGGAGAAACAACCAAGCAGGAGGAAGTGGAGTAGGAGGGAAAGACATGGAGGAAGAAGCTTGAATTTTTTTTTTCTTATTATTTTTATTTGGAAGTTTTTATTTCGTTTGTTTTGTGGATGAACTTTGATGTAACCAAACATTAATTAGGACTTTATTCATTTTCTTTCACTTGTGGTTACTTTGTTTTTCAGGTTTGAAGACTAGGGTGCGTTTAGGAGTCTCATTGGTCAAGGTTAAAGTGAAGAAAGGTGTAGAAAAGAATGTCAATTGTTACATTTAAGGTTGAGTCCATTAGGAATGAGAGTGACAAGATTCGTTATTATTGAAGAAAATGAAAGAAGAGTCACTGAAGTGTCCTGTTTCAACACTTCAGCCAAGGATAAAAAACAGAAAAAATAATTTTTCGACTCAGATGCTACTCGCCGAGTATGTGTGTAATTACTTGATTTTCTGTTGGCACCCAGTCTACTCGCTGAGTTCCCGTCTTACTCACCGAGTCCTTTAATATTTCACCCTCAAGACCTGTTTTGGGCACATTCACTGCAGCCTTTATCCATACTTTCATAAGATTCATTCCTGGAAGGTTTATGAGAAGGTTTGTCCTCAGAATTAGAGCTAGTACCACACGCGATATGATACCCAAGGCATAGATGACTCGTTTCCATGACTAAAGACATTTGAAGTCGGAGTTTTTCATGAAGAATATCAACCTCGCGACTGCTATCCCAGGAGATTTTGCTCCAATTCCCTCTTTAGTTTTGTGTTTTTCTTTTCATGCATACCATGCAATGGGGACATTGCATAAATTAAGTGTGGGGTAGGGGGTTGGTAACATTTTAGTCAATTGAGAATCTTAATCCTAATTTTAGGCTTAATTTTTGATTTTTTTTTTTTTACATAAAACATTGCTTAGGACTTAACTTAGAAAACTTTGGTAAAAGTAAGTAGGATTCCATGTTAGAATTACGTTGATGATTGCATGAAAACCTAAATGTTTATTTGAGCCTATATACGTTCTAGTGGATTTGTGGCATCCTTATTCTAGTGAAATCATGGGACAAAAACTCGACCTCACTTAGTTTGAAGGATGCAATATGTTTAGCATCGTG